TCTAATTTCCCACTCAGTGTGTTTGTTATCTCTGTAGAGGAATGCTATTGACTTTTGAGTATTGACTTTGTATCCTGCTATGCTACTGAATTTGTGTATCAATTCTAGTAGCTTCTTGGTGGAGTTTTTTTGGTCTTCCAAGTAAAGTATCATGTCATCTGAAAATAATGATAATTTAACTTCTTCTTTACCTATTCTTATTCCTTTTATTTATTTTTCTTGTGTGATGGCTCTATCTAATGATTCCAGAACTATATCGAATAGGAGTGGTGATAGAGGACATCCTTGTCTTGTACGAGATCTGAGGATAAAAGATTTCATTTTTTCCCCATTTAGTATTATGTTAGCCATTGGATTGTCATAGATGGATTTTATCAGATTGAAGTAGAAGCCATCTATTCCAATTTTCTGTAGGACTTTGAACATGAATGAGTGTTGGACTTTGTCAAAAATTTTTCAGCATCAATTGAGATGATCATGTGGTTTTTAGATTTTGCTCTATTGATATAGTGTGTTACATTTATAGATTTTCTAATATTAAACCATGCTTGCATCCCTGGAATGAATCCTACCTGGTCATGGTGTATGATCTTCTTGATGATTTGCTGCAATCTATTTGCTAGTATTTTATTGAGGATTTTTGCAACTATGTTCATGAGGGTGATTGGCCTGTAGTTCTCTTTTTTAGTTGCATCTTTTCTTGGTTTTGGTATCAGTATAATACTTGCCTCCAGAAATGATTTTGGGAGTATTTTTTCCTTTTCAATTTCATTGAAGAGTTTGATGAGTACAGAGATTGTATCTTCTGTAAATTTCTTGTAGAATTCAGCTGTGAATCCATCAGGACCTGGACTTTTCTTTGTCAGCAGGCTTTTTACTACATTTCGTATTTCATTGGCTGTTATTGGGCAATTGAGAGTTGTTAATTCAGTTTTGGTAATTTGCACCTTTCTAGGAATCTGTCCATTTCTTCTGTGTCTTCTATTGTGTGAGAGTAAAGATTCTCAAAGTAGCTATTGATAATCTTCTGAATTTCCACTGGGTCTGTGGTGATTACACCCTTTTCATTCCTTATTGCTTGTATTTGAATTTTTTCTTTCCTCTTTTTGATGAGGTTAGTTAAGCACTTATTGATTTTGTTTAATCTTTCAAGGAACCAGCTTTTTCTTTTTGCTTATTCTTCAAACTGTTTTCTTCATCTCAACTGAATTAATTTCGGCTCTAATCTTTATGATTTCTTCTCATCTTTGAGCCCTGGGTTTGTTTTGCTCTTCCTTTTCTAGATGTTGGAGGTACAACATTAGGGTGTTTATTTGTTCCCATTCTGTTTTCTTAATATGTGAGTTCACAGCTATAAATTTCCCTCTGAGAACTGCTTTCATCGCATCCCATATGTTCCGATAAGTTGTGCTTGAATTTCCATTGAATTGTAGATATTGTTGAATTTCTTGTTTAATTTCATCTGTGACCCATTGGTTGCTGAATTGAGTGTTGCTTAATTTCCATATATTTATAGTTTTTTCTGGTTTCTTTTGTCTTTTTTTGTCATTTATTTACAATTTCATTGCACTGTGGTCAAATAATATGCATGGGATAATTTCTGTTTTCTTGCATATACTTAAGCATGACCTATGGACCAGCATGTGGTCTATTTTAGAAAATGACAAATGTGCAGCCGAAAAAAATGTGTATTCAGCTGTGGTTGGGTGGAACACTCTGTATATGTCCACTAAGCCCATTTGTTCCAACCTCTTTTCAGTTCTTCTTCTTTGCTAATTTTTTGTCTGCTCATCCTATCTTTTGGGAATAAGGGGGTGTTAAGGTCTCCTGTTAAGTTTGTGGTATTGAATATTAGATTTTTCATATCCGTTAAGATTTATCTTACAGAGTTGGGTGCTCCTGTGTTTGGCATGTACATATTTATGAGTGTCACCTCTTCCTCTTGATTTTTCCCCTAACCAGTATATAGTGGCCTTCTTTATTTCGCTTGATCATTGTTGGTTTCAAGTTGAGACTGTCTGAGAACAAGATTGCTACCCCTGCTTTTTTCTGAGGCGCTGGGGTATGTAGTATTTTGTTCCATCCTTTGACTTTCAGCCTATGAATGTCTTTATGAGTTAAATGTGTTTCTTGTATACAGCATATTGTTGGATTTTGTTTCCTAATCCACTGTGCCAGTCTATATCTCTTAATTGGCGAACTGAGTCCATTTACATTGATGGTTATAATCAAGATGTATTGATTTATGATCGACACGTTATTTACCTGCCGCTGTTCCTTTTTCTCCTGTGTTTAATTGCTTGCCCTATTTAGTGGGTTCCTTCTGTTCTCGTTCATGGAGTTCTGATCATTTTGGTCCCTCTCTAGAACATCTTTTAGTAGTCTGTGTGGGCTTGACTTTGTCATCATGAAATTTTTTAGCTGTTTTTTATCATGGAAGTATTTCACTTCTCCATCAAACTCGAAAGAGAGTTTTGCAGGGTATAGTAGTCTGGGCTGGAATTTGTTTTCATAGAGGACTTGAAGTACTCTGCTCCATGCTCTTCTTGCCTTTATGGTTTGTGAAGAGAATTCGGCCGGAATTCTGATGGGTTTTCCTTTGAATGTGATCTGCTTCTTTTCTCTAGCGGCTTTCAGTAGATTATTCTTGTGCTGAATTTCTGGGATCTTGACTATTATATGTCTCGGTGTGTTTTTAATTGGGTTGAGGTCACTTGGTTTTCTGTATGCTTCAGTTACCTGAATGTCAGATTGTTTCCTCATATTTGGGAAGTTTTCTGCTATTACTTCTGTCCATATTTTTTTAGTGTCATATGTATTGACTCCTTCTTTCTCATTGATACCTATTAGTCTCACATTATCTTTTTTTTTATTTATTTATTTGTGTGTGTGTGTGTGTGTGTGTGTGTGTGTGTGTGTGGTCAGCTCAGCCCACCAGGTGGTGGGGCTGGCTGGCATGTGGTGCTGCGGGATTGAACTGTGGTCCCTGTGCTTTGCTAAACTTGTTCTAAGTAGGTGCTTTAGACCACTGAGCCATCTCACCAGCCCCACATTGTTCATCTTTGCATTGTCTTGCAATCGATGAATTTTTTTTTCCTGCATCCTGGTTGTTTTTAAGAGATCTTTTTCTTATGTTTTCACTAGCTGTGATCACATCTTCAAGATCTGAAACTCTATCTTCACTTTCACTCAAATGGTTTTGCAAGCTTGTGATTGAGATTTTCAGTTTCTCTGTATCTCTTGACTCTGCTTCATGTGATCTATTTCTTTCCTGAATTGCTCATTCAAGGAATCCATCTTTTTCTAACCTCTTTTTTTATCAGTGTCTTCTTGAGAAGCAGTTATTAATTCTTTTACTATAGAGATTATTTCTGATCTGATTTCATCTATATGTTTCTGCATTTGATTCTTTACTTTGGATGCTATTAATTCAGAGATTTCTTCTTTCATTTCAGAGGTTATTTCTAATCTGAGTTTCTCTATATCTTTCTGCAGTTGTTTCTTTACTTCAGAGGCTATTGATTCAGACATTTCAGCTGTGTGATTCCCAATTTCTTTTATGCTAGTGTCTCCTGCACTTGTTCTGGGTGGGCTCAGGGCCTGAGATTGCACTTTTCTCCTTCTGCCATTTCATAAAGCACTGACCTCTGACATTTGGTGTAGAGCTTTGGTGCAGTTATAACCTTAGCACCTACTGAAATTCTGATGCAGATCTATTAAGTTTGAGTTTATCCACTTGTGCCTGGCTTGAGTCTAGTTGTTGTGCTCAGCTCCTTCTTGCTGCAGCCCTTGGAAGTGAACCTGTTGTGCTCCTCTGGTACAACAGTAAACCTATTGTGCCCCTCTTTTGTGCTCCTGGCCCAGGAGGCACAGAGGAGTGCAGGAGCTGTCCCACACACTCACTGGTCCTTGGCTTGTACTGGCTCTGAGGGGTTCCGAGAGTGTGGCAGAAGTCCTCACTCACTCAGCGGGCTTGTGGAGGGGGACACTCCAGAGGGGTAGAGGGGTCACGAGGTCACGGCAGTGTCTCACTTACTAGGCATGCCTGGGTTTGTTCCAGGGAGGTCCTGTGGGTGCAGGGGAGCCAGAAGCTCTCCCACACACTCGCTGGGCCTGGGCTTGGGCTGGATCTGGGCTGCTTCTTTTTTTTCTGGAACATTCAGTACTGGAGCATTGTGCAGTCAGGTAAGAAATCAGATTGCACTTCCACAGGAGGCCTACATGCTGCAGTCGCTGCTGCTGCTGTGTCTCTAATGATCCCTGAGAAGTTCCAGTACATTTTGCAAGTACTCAACATCAACATTGATGGGCGATGAAAAATAGCCTTTGCCATCACTGCCATTAAGGGTGTGGGTGAAGGTACGCTCATGTTGTGTTGAGGAAAGCAGACATCGATCTCACAAAGAGGGCTGGAGAGCTCACTGAGGATGAGGTGGAGTGCGTGATCACTATTATGCAGAATCCTGGCCAGTACAAGATCCCAGACTGGTTTCTGAACAGACAGAAGGATGTGAAGGATGGGAAGTACAGCCAGGTTCTACCCAATGGTCTGAACAACAAGCTTCAAGAAAACCTGGGAGAACGGAGTAGCGAGCCCCTGAAGAAGTTGCCAAAATGATGCCCACACCAGTTATACTGTTGAAAGAGGGAACTGACAGCTCCCAAGGCATCCCTCAGCTTGTGAGTAACATCAGTGCCTGCCAGGTGGTTGCTGAGGCTGTAAGAACCACCCTAGGTCCCCGTGGCATGGACAAGCTTATTGTAGATGGCCGAGGCAAAGCAACAATTTCTAATGATGGGGCCACAATTTTGAAACTTCTCGATGTCGTCCATCCTGCAGCAAAGACTTTAGTGGACATCGCCAAATCTCAAGATGCTGAGGTTGGTGATGGCACCACCTCTGTGACCCTGCTGGCTGCCGAGTTTCTGAAGCAGGTGAAACCCTACGTGGAGGAAGGCTTGCACCCCCAGATCATCATCCGAGCTTTTCGCACAGCTACACAGTTGGCAATTAACAAGATCAAGGAGATCGCTGTAACTGTGAAGAAGCAAGATAAAGTGGAGCAGAGGAAGCTGCTGGAGAAGGGTGCAATGACAGCTCTGAGCTCCAAGCTGATCTCCCAGCAGAAAGCCTTCTTTGCTAAGATGGTGGTTGATGCTGTGATGATGCTTGATGATTTGCTGCAGCTTAAAATGATTGGAATCAAGAAGGTACAGGGTGGAGCCCTGGAGGAGTCTCGGCTGGTGGCTGGTGTTGCATTCAAGAAGATTTTCTCTTACGCTGGATTTGAAATGCAACCTAAAAAGTACAATAACCCCACAATTGCCCTGTTAAATGTTGAACTTGAGCTGAAAGCTGAAAAAGACAATGCTGAAATCAGAGTCCACACAGTAGAGGATTATCAGGCAATCGTTGATGCTGAGTGGAACATTCTGTATGACAAGTTAGAGAAGATCTATAATTCCGGAGCCAAAGTTGTTTTGTCCAAACTCCCTATTGGGGATGTGGCCACCCAGTACTTCGCTGATAGGGACATGTTCTGCGCCGGCTGTGTGCCTGAGGAGGATTTGAAGAGGACAATGATGGCCTGTGGAGGCTCAATCCAGACCAGCGTGAATGCTCTATCAGCAGATGTGCTGGGCCACTGCCAGCTGTTCGAAGAGACCCAGATTGGAGGTGAAAGATACAATTTCTTCACTGGCTGCCCCAAGGCTAAGACTTGCACCTTCATCCTCCGCGGCGGAGCTGAGCAGTTCATGGAGGAGACAGAGCGGTCTCTGCATGACGCCATCATGATTGTCAGGAGGGCCATCAAGAATGATTCAGTGGTGGCTGGAGGTGGAGCCATCAAGATGGAGCTCTCTAAGTACCTTCGGGATTACTCAAGGACTATCCCAGGAAAGCAGCAGCTCCTGATTGGGACATATGCCAAGGCCTTGGAGATTATCCCATGCCAGCTATGTGACAATGCTGGCTTTGATGCTACAAACATCCTGAACAAACTACGGGCTCGGCATGCCCAGGGCGGCATGTGGTATGGGGTGGACATCAACAATGAGGACATTACTGACAACTTCGAGGCTTTTGTGTGGGAGCCAGCTATGGTGCGGATCAATGCCCTCACAGCAGCCTCTGAGGCTGCATGCCTGATCGTGTCCGTTGATGAGACCATCAAGAACCCTCGCTCCACCATGGATACTCCTCCAGCAGCGGGCCGGGGCCAGGGCCGCCTTCCTTGAGATCCCACCCATCACACTGGCTGGCAGCTGGCTGCAGGTGTGCTTGCCCTCCCTGGCTAAGCTCATTGGTATTATGAAGAAGTGGTAATAATTGGTCTGTTCTGTTCTCACTGGAGGTTATTTAAATAAAACATAAGACTTAGAGTGCACTTTGTAAATAAAAAAAAAAAAAAAGAAAACCTGAAGCGACTGAATAAGATCCAAGCCCACAGGGGCCTGAGCCACTTCTGGGGGTTGCAAGTCTGAGGCCAGCACACCAAGACCACTGGACGCCAACACGGCACTGTGGATGTGTCCAAGAAGAAGTGAGGCTGTAGGTTTGCTCCAACAATAAATAGCATATTAAAAAAAAAAAAAAAAGAAAGAAAGAAATCAGATTGCCCTGAAGCCCATATGACATGTAGAAATCCAAACCGCAAGGTGAAGTCACGTGTAGGTGCTTGGATCTAGCAACTCATCATGGTCTAAGCTTTGCTGCACTCCAGTCTGGACTGTGAGTGAAAAGTCCAGCAATTTCAAGTGACTGTCCATTGTTCAAGTTTTCTCATGTGGCACTTTGGTCATTGTGAAGCAAAGTAAAGCTGTGTTTGATGTACTTGTTTGATGCTATGTTTGATGTACTTCTGATTGATCTTACACCATGATACGTAGAACATGTGAAGGACCTACCTAATAGCAGTTTCAAAAGGAAAGAAGGAAGGAATGAAGGAAGGGAGGGAGGGAGGGAGAGAGAGAGATAGAAAGACAGACAGAGAGAAAGAAAGAGAGAAAGAAAGAAAGAAAGAAAGAAAGAAAGAAGGAAAAAAAGAAAGAAGAAAGAAAGAAAGAGTGGTAGAAGTAATATTTGGAGTGATGATATTGAGACTTTCAAAATTACATGCTAATTACAAAGTACTTAAAATAAATTCATTCCTATATGCACAGTAATGACCATGCTGAACATTTAGGCCAAAGAAAATTTTAAAAGCCATCAAACAGAAAGCCAGATTACCCATAAAAGAATGCTAACTAGATACCAGACTTCTCATAAGTAGCAAGAGATACCAGAAACCAATTCATTAACATTTCCAATACCACTGAGTAAAAAATTACTGGCAACATTGATTTCTATATCCCGCTAAGCTATAACTCAAGAATAATTAAACAAAACTGATTTTACCAACCATCCACTTTTATTGAAAGAACTACTAAAGAACACATTGCAACAAGAAAAGTGAATTCAGAACCAAATTGTGGGGTTAAATAAATAGTAACACAAAAATTAATTAATTTGTTAATGCAATTATACTGTTACTGTACAGTAAGAGTTTTATATTCTAATAATTATGGAACTAAAATTCTACATAAAATAACTACTTGATATAGCAAGTAGGTAAAAAAAATCTTGTTGGGGCAAGAGGGCACTTATATTTTTGAAACTTTAGAAAGTTTTAAGAAAATTAATAGTTATACATGTACAAAATTTAAGAGTACCTTCTAAAAGAATAGGAAAAATATCATTTTCAGAGTTCAAATCAGAAAAGGTAAAAAGAAAAAACAATGAAGTCATCAGTCCACTGAAGGCAGGAAAGGCAAATTAAACAGAAAAAGGAAAAGCGCTGTAAACAGGAAACAGAAATATATATGAGCGGATAGTACAGATAATTTCAAATGGATTCTATCCGTGTGATTTGAAATTTCAATTGAAAACCAGAAGCTGTGAGTGTCATGGCTTCCATCTGGATATCCCCCAAAGCTTCATGCAGTGAGACTTGGAGCTTTTTCAGAGTTGGCTGGATCTGGAGCCTGTGATGCTGGGATTGATTCGTGATATAGTACAAAATCAAGGGCTGACTATGGACTGAAACCTCTACACACTGTGAGCTAAATAAACTTTTCCTTCCCTAACTCTAGGTTTTGGTTTTGCCTCAGCACCTAGAAAAGTTCCATCTTGCTAACCAAATAACCGTGATACAAAAAAAATAACAGAATCACCAGAAAAAAATTAGTTCAACAACTACATTGATATTTGCAATATATCTATTTAAAACTCAGATTAGGGCTGGTGAGATGGCTCAGTGGTCTAAAGCACCTACTTAGAACAAACTAAGCTCAAGCAAAGCACAGGGACCTCGGTTCAATCCCCCAGCACC